TCACCTTGTTCATCTCGGATTTGCCTATGTCCTTCTGTTGATAGCTTTCCATGGCCTTCCACAAGGTTATGGACTTTGGTGTGTGCGTGTGTGTAAGTGCACTTGAGGGCAAAACAGTTGAGGATGGTGTGGTGTGCGTGTAGCTGCTGCTAGGCCCAAAAAATGGGCGGACAAAGTGCTGAGAGGCTTGTGACACTTCAAATTGGTGTTAATGTATGTTGTTATTGTTGTGTTTTGTTTCGTTGGTCCGTAAAAGTCTTGCGTGTATGTGTTTTCTTTTGTCCTTTTCGCTGGCAATTAAGCTAAATGTCCTGGCGCTTTATGCGTTTCATTTTTATTGTGTGTGTAAAAATAAATAAATTTGAATATATGTACATATGTTTCTTTATACTATAAGTCCACATAGACACTTATATATATAGTATATGCATATGTATGTGTGTATAAGGAAAATAAATAAATATTGAAATATATAAACGATGATATGGCTCTTTGTCTTTTTATGAGCACTTCAAAGCTTTCTCTCTCGTTCCGCTCTCTCTTGCGAATAGTCCTTAGTATGGAGCTCAAGGTTATCAGGTCAAGTATTTAAAAATGGGGCATACGCTTTGCAAAGTAGAACATTTGTGAATTAAAAAAAAATTAATTAATTGCAGTGGCAAATGTAGTTCGTTTTGGTGAAGCTCCAGAACTAAGTGGCCTTTGACATTGAAATACTTTAGTAACAAATTACGTCGTGACTTACAACAATCACTAACACTTTCACCCATTCCGACAGAAAATGAGAAATTTACTATAATTTGTACTTAAAGACCTACTTCTTGGAGCCAAACCTTTCGAAATGGATAATTTTATATAACCAACAACTGACCTGACCTTGATGAARCTATAGCATTAGTCACTTACCCCGAGATACAAAAAACAACAAAAATTTAAAGCATAACCAATAATTTTAACTAAACAAGACATAACATATCAGAATTCCACAAAAACCTATCCATCCTTTTGGTACTGAACTAGCTATATAATCCTTTAGCTGCTCTTTGAATTCTTCAAGATTCGTGTATTGGATTCCATGTGGATTATGAAAACTCTTGCGTTCGAGATTATTATGAAATTCAAAATCTCGAAATCAAATAATCTACTCAACTGTTTTATGAAAGACGTAAAACGTTTCATCGATACAAGATTCATATTTCTCACGATTCATACCAAGGACAATACAGGAACCGATATATACGCTGGTCAAGTGAGATTCACGTGGTATATGTCGCGAAGATCAGCCCCGAAATCCTCCCAAACGTACAAATCTGATAGTCGAAGTAAGAATCAAAATTGTTAACAAGACAAGCAGCAGAGACTTTGAGAGAATATATTTAGTTTATTTTCTGTTTAGCTTGAAAAAGGCCAAAACTTTTAATACAGACTGTATCGCGAGATAAATACACGTAAGAGCTTTTTTGTAGTTTGTTGTTCTAAAAAAGCTCTTGAGAATATGTTGCTGCTACATAAGAAAACGCAAAGAGGATTTTCGTAGTAACTCTCTAAAAACGGCTAAGCGCAAGGCACGAAGAGATTAAAGAAAGTTATTGCTTGAAAAACTTTAAAAGAAGCAGGTATGTATACAAAGAACTAAAAATAAACCAAAAATACCCTAAATGAAGATATATTTGGCAGGTTGCGCAGAGAAGGAGGAAGACACAGGGGTGTTGAAAAGACGAGGCTAAAGAAAAGCTTAAAGTAATAGCAGAAGTTGTAGCACAAAAAATGCAAATATAAATAAAAAGCGACAACAAAACCAAATCAACAGCAGCAACCGTCAAAGTAAATTATAATTGAAAAGTAATTTTTATCTATAACGGTAAAGAGAATGAGTACAAGCCGAGAATATGAGTAATCGTGCATAGGCTTCAGTTGAAAAATATATGGATAAAGAAAGCAATATCGAAATGTTTTAGAAGGAGCTAACCGTATGCAGAAATTGTTTACTGTTACTCGGAGCTAGTAATTGGCTCCTTAGAATTTGATTTTAATTAGTTGTTTTATATAATTATTAGTCAACAAATAATATCAACAGTGACAAACAGACATTTTTGTCAAAAAAAAAAAAAAAAATTTTATTTTTTTTWAAAAATATTTTWTTTTTTTTTAAAAATATTTTTTTTTTTCAAATTGAATTTAATTATCCTATCAGTTTTCTTAACAGCTAATCACAGAGAGGTCATGGCCAGTTTAAGGTGTTCACGAGAATAAAAACATGTTTTTAGTTTTACCTTTACTAATCAGTGGAAGTACTAAGCTGTATCTAAAGTAAACCGAATTCTCAAAGTACATTTCGGCGGTTTCACAAAGCAATGTGGTCACCAGCGTCCTAGCCGAAGCTCAGTGAAGTTGTGCTTATTGAGCACTAGAAACTCATGCTAGCAAAGGTTACCCGCGCATAGTTAGCGTGTATTAACGTTTATGTGTGCGTTACACATACATGAGCACGTACGTGGGTGGGTTGATAAAATCAGCCTGCAGGTATGCAACAGTTTGCACATTTAAACTGAGTCAGCATGTTGGTGAATCACTTAACAACATTAGCACATTTAGCAACAGCAACCAAACAAACACCACTACTACACCAACAGAGAGTTTCGCGCTAGCACAGACATTTCTCCACTTGCCAGTGAGTGCTCATACACTCGGTGGCTCAATAATGTGTATTAAAAATTCAATTACCAGACCAAATGTCGCCAATCAGATTTTATGACGATTGCAGATGTGTGTATTAGTGTGAGTGTGCTCGCACAAGCGGGCCGCTCGCTGGTGGCTACTGTAGAATAACTGATGTTTTGCGAGTGTACGTGGGAGGTAGCAAGCTACTGGCGTTATGTTGCGTATACGCCACGTCGGCTCGTATACTGACTTATGCAGCTGAAAGTGTTTATATGTATTCGTATGCATATGATTATGTTTGTATGTGTGTAGTACATGTATTTAAGTGAATTTACGTACTGTCCTTGCTATTTTTGCGGCGCGATTGTGTGTGCTGCGTGGGTTGGTGACAAGCAGTATGTGTGAGAAATTGCTGTTTGTGGATATAGGAAAAATGTAACACTGTTAGTTTGAAGGCTACTGCAACGCGCTCATGCGAATTTCTTTCGTCAACGAGCTAGCCCCCAGGCGACCAACCGCAACACCAAGCACCGCTCGGAATTA